TTTTGGCCCCTGTGCGGGGCCCCGGCGTGGCGAGTGCCTGGGTGTTTTTTTGGTCCCTGTGCGGGGCCCCGGCGTGGCGAGTGCCTGGGTGTCTTTTTTTGGCCTCTGTGCGGGGCCCCGGCTTGGCGAATGCTTGGGTGTTGCTTTTGGCCCCTGTGCGGGGCCCTGGCGTGGAGAGTGCTTGGGTGAGCTTGTTGGGCCCTGCGCGGGCCAATGTGGTAGCATGCGGAAATGCTTTTTTTTGCACGCTGGAAAATGCATATTTGTCTTTGGGCCCTGGCAGGTGATCGCTACACAGAGCTTTTCAAGAAAGCGTTGGAGTCGGTGGAGCTGACGCCAGAGCACATTCAAGCGTCCGTTTCAGACCAAGAGGGGGCGATTCGAAAGGGTTTGCGCGGCCTCGGTGCGCCCCTGATAGGGTGTGGATGTCATTGTTTGCAGCTATGCTGCAAGCACGCTTTGCCAGATCTGAAAGAAAGGACCAAAAAGAGGAAGTCTGCCGCTGACAAATTGGATTCGGACTCTTCCTCATCAGACACTTCTGATGAAAGCTCGTCTTCTTCGAGCAGTTCGTCTTCTGAAGCAGAGGTGGCTGAGAAGAAGGCACCCATGGCGCCTGGTGGTGTGAAAGGGCCCAAGGGCGACCCCGCCTCTGTGGAGTGCAAGGCAAAGCTGAAGGAGTCGTTCAGCAGGTACCGGTCGATTGTGCGATACTTTGCTTCCCACGATGACATGTACAATGAAATGTACTCAGCAGCTGCACAAGCCGAAGTGCCTTGCGTTGCCTACCAGCATGAAACCCCAACACGTTGGAGCTCCGCCCTGCTGCAGATTGTTTCTGTCATCCGCAACAATGCAGCTCACGCATTGCTGAGGTTCTGTTCTGAGAAAATCAAACATGCGTTTCCATTCCACGCTGGTTTCACTTGTAGAGAAAATTGCCAAAATGCGTTTGCATTCCACCCAAAAATGCATTTACCATCCCTGACAGGACTCGTCGTTAATCATCTTTCGGGGCAAAATGCGTTTTCCATTGTCCAAAAAAAGCATTTTCACACGAAAGCCACCGATGACTCCACCTTCCTTAAATGCTTTTTTAACCAGAAAGAAAAAGAATATTTGTAGTTGACTCACTGCAGCAAGGTTCGCAAGCAAGTGGAAGCTGAGATGTTGCACTATGAGCGCCTGAATGTCACAGGAGAAAGCCCTTTGTCTTGGTGGCGCAGCCATGAAGGACAGATGCCAGTGCTCGCCCAGTTTGCGCAAGCGGCTCTTGGAGTGCCTGGCTCCAGCGCAGCTTTGGAACGGCTTTTCTCGAAAGCCGGTTTGTTCATCACCAGGCGCCGCCCGCGCTTGAAGCCGGGCCGCGCCAGTGACATGTTGTTTGGGCACGCCAATGTGCAAATGCTTCTGTGACCTCGGACAGCCCTCGAAGAAACGTTGCGGATCTCGGAGCAGGGGGGAATTCCGGTTCGTAATTTTTTCCGGTTCGGTTGTGATGGGATAATTGACGGTTGTAATGATTCGGTTGATGAAAAATTTCGGTTCTTGACATTCACGAGGTTTCGGTTCTGAACAAACGGTTCCGAATCGATTCGGGACCCTTCCTGTTGATTGTTCAATCGGACTTGCATTTTCGCACCATGCCCGTGGGAATTTGATGCTCGTTTAATTCATATGCACGGCCACGTGATGACGCGCTCCCGCAGATCAGCTGCTGTCCTGCTGCTTTGGCGCGCTGCCGCAGCAACCTGTGACGACTCTGTGCTACTGTACATCCCTATATCTCCAAGTCATGAGCAGCACACTGACACCTCTACACAACGACACCTCAACTCTCCTACACAGAACCGCAGTGGTACTTTCGCAGGTGCAAAACCTGCTCAGACAAGCAACAGATATTGTAGCACACCTTCACACTCACTTCCTCCACCACATCCACCAAGCGGATCCCACTTTCCACCAACACTTTCAGCCACTCCCAACTCCGCCTATCCACCCTATACGTTTACCATCCACCACCTCCTCCTGTGACTCAGCACCATCCCGACCACCCATCCGTTTACCAGCACCACTCACAAAAGACTCCGACGACACACCAACAACACCCCCAGCTCCACAACCTACTACAACACGCAAGCGGAAGCAACCACTCCCACCACCACTGAACCAACAAGCGGACTGGGACGCGTGGGACGGCGACGCCGATTGCCGCCTGGTCGAACTCAAAGAAAACCCCAGACTTCGTCCCAACTGGGTCACTGTGGCTCGCCGAGTGGGCTTCTCAGTCGAGCAATGTCAAGCCCGATGGCAAGAAATCAAAGACATGCAACGTCAGCAAGACCAGCAACTTTCCTCCACACCACTACCAACAGAACCACCACGACAAGCACCTTCCCTCTCACCAACACCCACCTCACCAGCAGTTTCCCCAGCACCGCATTCACAACCGGATTTTTCCCCTTCCCCCAAAACAACGCCACCGACTTCACCACATCGATCACCTCCTGCTGCTGTGCTGCTGCCGCCAGCTGCTGAGCGAGAGCCTAGTGAGAACAGTCATCCGGAGAAATCTCCACTTACGCCCGTTGGCAGTTATTTCATATGATCCGTTTCACCCAGCTTTCTCTACGGCGTGCCGCAGGACAAATCCACTAACATGCACTGACAAGTTGTTTTTCACGCCCGGTCTACTTTCACCAATTTTGGACAACTTCGGTCTTTCATTTTTCAGGCTCACTCTAGCTCCGCAGCTTTTTGTGTGCCACTTTGTCCTGCTTTCTTGTACCAATCGTTATGGCCAATCCTCGCGCTCGCCCCCATGGCAACACCGCCAACACAGAACACTACCTGCCACAGCGCCCTCCGAGCTGGCTCCAACCTTCGATTTGCACTCAGCCTGACTTTCAATCCCTCAACAGCTCCTTGGACCTTCTCTTTTTGGTCAACCAACACCTCCGCCACCACCCATTTCACACTGAACCTATGCCAAGCCAGACGTATTTTCAGGACCAGAGAGCATACAACCTCCTCTACCGAATGCGCGGTGACCTGATCTTGCTGGACCGCCTGATTGATAGCCTCTCCCAGGCTCGTCGGCTCCTTCAATTTGTTACCACCGGCCCAGGCCTCCCAGGGCAATACCGCATCAACCCCACAGCCTCACTCTCCAGCAGAAACCTGGCCATTCTACACGACATACCGCCAGGTTTTCCACTACCACCCGGACTTTCCAGCCGTTCACCCTCTCCCTCACCACGTACACCACCACAAGACGCAGAACGTCTACACTCTCACTGGACAGGTCCCCCGCCACAAGCTACCCCGGCCACCAACATCAACACTGCCACTCACACCAGGGAACGCTCACGCTCCCGCGACAACATTCCACACCGCAGTGGCTAACTACAACATTGAGCACCGCAGCAACATCCCAACCCGGGCTCTACAGCGGCTGCCATGCAACTTGCCAACTCTGAGACGACATCCCTGGCCACAGCTGCTGCTACACTTCATTTTTCAAGTCTCACTGATATTTCTCGGCGAGCGGAAAAACTTAGCCATCTAACCGATCTACCACTTTTCACACTCTCACTTTTGATGGTTTTTCACAATCGCATGCCACCATATGTTCCGCAGCCATTTGACCGAACTGTTTCTTCATAACCGCTCGTCCTTTCTACGACATGATGCCTCGTGATGATCTACGAACTCCACTACCTCATTCAGCGACAACTACCCTATCCTCTGACCCACCCACTACACACCACAGTTACTCCTTACCGAACAATCCCATGCCATACTTGGCTCCATCCGTGACACACCAGCCCGAATTACTCTTGCTCCACTGGATGATTAGCACTATCGCCTCACTCGTTGAGGATCTCCAACATCACCCCATTGTGCAAGATCCCATCCCTCCAATGTCTACATTCACCAACACACCAGCTTACAGACTTTTTCTGCAGCTGCGCAACACCCTCCGACACTTGATCAACACCGCCCACGACGCCCGACGTGGACTCAACAGGCTGCAATTCATTCCTGGCTCACCAGGTTCCCCTGGCCACTACCGCATCGACCCCACACTCGACATCCCACCACAGCAACCCAATTTCCTCTCCGTAGCCACCTTCCAACGTGACCCAGCCATACCATCACCCATCGACACACACACCACCACTCATTCGCCGATTCAGTTGCAGAGCCAGGTCTCGTTCCCGAGATCGCCTCCCTCTCACCACACTATCACAGCCAAATCACACAACCCATCGACACCAGACAATCCCAGACCAACCTTCTGCAGCTCACGGCCACCGCGGACACTTGCATCAAGCACTTTGGACGGCTTCCAATTCCATTTCCACTTCTTCAGCAGCTTACCACCTGCTTGCTGACACGCCGTCATCCTCCCCCTGAGGCTGCCCGGACAACGCTTTGTCTCACACATTACGCTTTGCTCAGGGAGAAAAAACCCATCCAATTATTTATCCTCACACATTCTCCATCTTACTGTCCAGCAGTCACTCATTTTTCTCCGCAGCCATTTGAACTCTCGACCCCCGCTACATACATCCCACTTCGCCTTCTCACCACCCCATGGACTACGACTCTCCAGACTGGGATCGCACTCCTACAGAGTCTATCGAAGTGAAAGATGAGGCACCACACCTCACCAAGGCAGAGCCCGTCGAACCATCCACCAACGACACCAAGTTGGAACTCACGAAAAAGGAGGAAGATTCCCCACAGCATACTCCCATGCTTTGCCCTCCGGTCAGCACTGTACCGGAAAAAACCTCCACAACATCCACATCACCTCCTGCAAAAGCCCCCCCGGTTTCCCACACATCCTACCGGAACCTTTCCACACGGAACACGCCACAGACAAACCCCAAACCAACACCAACACAGCCCACAGCTACACTTCCGCATCCCACAGCACCACCTGCACCACCATCTACCACATCCTCTACCAGCACTGAGGACCCTGTCATCCTCACCACCAATGTTCCCATCCTGCCCAAAGCACGTCCGGGGCACCCACCAATCAATACCACCTGGGTGGGCCCCCCACAGTTGTACCACGCTCCACATTCAGCAACACCTACACGCATCCCCTTACAGGTCACCATTCCACGTCCCCACCGGAACGGCCAACTTCTACCCTTCAACTTTTCCACTGACATCAAACACTACCTCAATCCCACAGCACATTCCACTCGACGACCAGCCACGTCACGTCCCGCGCCGCCAACTCACTTCCACCCAACCACTACCACCAATACCACTACAGTGTTCCCACCGGTGCCTCCTATTCCAGACGCACCGCTAACAGAGCAACAAGCGGCCACGCTCCAACAGACCATCCTGCGGGTTGCTCGTCAAGCCGCCGAGCTCAATTCACGCCGCAGCAGCTCATAGTTTCACCCAGCACCATTCTCACACATCGTGTGATGACCAAAAAGAACACAGTCTCCATTCGGTTTATTCACTTTCGACTTTGTCTTGACCGTCTTCAATGCACAATACACTTAGATCGAGACTTTGTTCTGCCTTTCAAGTTCCATGTTGACCGCAGCCATTTTTCAAACTCGTGATCGTTACCACAAACAGTGCACAGCCTCCACTCTTGCCTTTCAATGGAGAGCACCGCCGATTATGATGAGCAGTCTGAGGTTCTTTTTCTCTTCAATGAAGATCCGGAGGAACTACCTTCACAAACGCACGATCCACCTCCCCCGCTGCAGCCTCAACCAAATCCAGTTCCCACAACCTCGCAACCTGCACCATCAGCCACCACCAACATCTCGGCAGACCAATCGTTTTGGGCCGAAGTATACACCCTCCAACCACCACATGCCCTGATGGGCATCCTCACGGACCTTCATGTCCACCGATTCGTTCTTCACCAGCACCTGGACAGCCTCAACGCCCTTACCGACACCCCTATCGGACATCAACCTCTCACTGACACACTTCCACCACCTGTCCAGCGGCTCATCGCCATTTACCACAACAACGTACAACGCATCCAGAGCCACACGCGCTTGGCTCTCAACGCCATTGACACCATGGCCCGCTTTCCCCCAGCGGCATACTTCCTGGATCCCAACCTAGCCGCACAGACCTCCCCACCAACACACACAGAGACAGATCCTCCACCCAGTTCCACCTCACCTCTCCGCTTTTATCCCATTCCCACCGCCGCGGCCAGGCATACAACTTTGCAAGATGTCGCCACCCAAACTCCTCCATTTTCAGAATCCATCCTGGCCAACCCACTTCCACCGCTTCTCATGCACGAATCCCAACAGACCACCCCTCGAGCAACCCCTCGAGCAGCCACCCATCACCGACACATCCAGACGGACATCCATGCCATCGTCCAGCTCCCTTCTTTTGC